ACAAAACTTCGAATTTTATTCACTCCTCATTTCATTTGGTTCTTCAAATTCTTACACCCAAGATAAAAATTCTCACAAAATATATTATGATTTGAATTATGAAAAGTTTATACACTTATTAATTATTTCTACTAAGGTAGTTTTTATAATAATTGTATCACGTAATTTATGCGTTTATATTATAGCAATAACATTAATAGGAATTAGAATTTACTTTATGAATTAAAAACTATTCGCAAATAAAAAATATAGATTTTAAATGATTAATTTAGTGGTAAATTTTATGCAGTATTTTATGGAAGTTCTGATGATGGGGGTAGGCTTTTTGTATTCCCGATATTAATAAAAGGTTACCTGCATGTGTTATCTTAGTCTTACAAATATAGGTACAACATATCAAATTTGTGTTTAGAATAGAATATACTGTTGGTTTAAAATGTAAATTTTATAGCGATTTACTTAGTATCAAATTTAAAAGTAAAAATATTACCAAATGAATCTCGTATAAAGCTTTAATTAATATTTTAATTGTATGTAAAATATTTTAATTTTAAGTTATAGCTTGCTTTAAAATTTTAATATCAATAAAAGCTACAATCCTTACTTTTAGATGTTCGTATTAGAGTGAATCCTATTTATTTTATTAAAATTTAAAACAAACTACACAGAATGGATTCGGCTAAACTCAAATTTGGTATGTGCAAAAATGTTATCTATATTATAGGCACTTAAAGAAGTCGAAGAGTCAACTTATTAACTATAGTTTTTGATGTACCTCCTTTACGGTTCTCTGAAATTGAAATTGAAATTTAAGATTAAATGTACTACTCTCTAAAATTTCTCTTAATGACTATATTGATTCGAAAAGTTGTATTTTGTCTAAACGAAATTTGTCAACTCAATTATTAAATCAACTACCTATAGTATTATCTCGTCGACAGTAAATGTAATCTTAAATTGTGAAATAGCGTTAATTGTTAAAAAGCAACACATCTATACAAATCATTTAAATAATATATAAAAATATCGAATTCTAATTAAAGTAAAACGATTAGGTATGTTTTAAATATCAAGTAAGCACCAAAATTGGGGGGAAATTTTAATAACTGTAGTTATAGCCATTAGCTATACTCAATATTGTAATATTACTGTTAGTAGATTCAGAGTGCTTATAATACCTATATAATTTATATTCAATATTTCAATATAAACTTGAGATTTATACTTAATTTATATTTATTAAATCTAATATCATTGATTATAATTATACCATTGTTATAATTATTTATAATATAGTCATTATCTATATGTCTGTATTTAGGGTACCTATAGCTACATAATATATAGGTAAGGTTTCCTACACGCCTTGAACAAAATAAGTGGTAAGCCCCCTGCACACAAAATGATGTCTTTAGTAAAAATGGGATATTGGGATGGGTTGATAGGTATATTTATATCTTGGTGGTATTTAAATTTCCAATAAAAAGTAACTTTATGCTAAGATTATGTAAACAGCTGACGATGAGATTAATAATTTCACGATCCTCGATCATGACTTTATTGCTTAGATAAAATTTAAAAAACATGTCTTCAGTTTTATGCTATCATGGATCTATATAAGCCTCTCTTAGTCCCCGGATATCATAGTTACATGCAATATCATTATTTATTAAGATAATATGTATTGTGTTAGTGTACCTAATACAGTTATATTTAATATGTACCTACAAATATTTCAATTGTTCTAAACATCTATAGGTAATACACTTATAGGTACTTATTAAATTAAAACGAATAAAAGTTAATAACAAAGATAACAATATATTTTGATCCTCAAATAATTATATAGAATGTATCTCATACATGCACGACCTTATATAGCACATATACATAATACCTATGCACTTAGGTATAAAATGCTATACTGTTATTCTAATAATAATTATATCTACAGTAGGTAGATACATAGAATTGTAGAAACAATAGTTTAAAACTGGCGTATGATGAATGATTATCAACTATTAAAAATTACAAGTAAATAATTGATAGGAATTTTATAAATTACGAATTTATTATACAAACATTTACATTTTTTTTCTGGTAATTTAACACTAGACATTAACTTATTTAATGTTATTTTAAATAATATTATGTTGTTCAAATAAGTTGAAAGTGCTTAACCTTTGTTTTAAAATATATGTATTTATAAGCCAAACAGTTTTATAAATGTGTTTGAATGTATATTTAGTTGCAGTTTTACCTCAACCGTATCAGAGCTTTTGAAGGTTACCTTGATTTCTTATTTTATTAACAGTCATTTAAAATATCTATGGGTTCAAATAATTGTTAAATAGCAATTTATTATATGTATATATCTCTAAGCTGCCTCATTGTTCTAATCATAGTAAACAGATGTAAAAATGTTAATTAAATGTGTTTTTGTATATAAATAAAGAAAATGTGTTCTCTCTGTCTTACTAACGCATAAAAAGAAAATGTTACGTTTAAAAGAAGCTATCTTACTTTCACTCAATTATTTTTAATATCAGCGTAAATTGGTTTATACCATAAAATGTTTCAAGAATATTATCTTCAGTCCCGTGTAACAATTTTTGTGATTTTCTAATTTAGAAGCAAATTATGAGCGTTTAAAAATTTAAATTTTTTTTAAATTTGATAATAGGTCAATTTAATAGGTGCTACAAGGGACATTTTTCTGGGGGGTGGAGGAGGTGGCTGAAATTGATTCAGCAGCATGGACTCTGATAATTTATATTTTAAACTAAAATATAATTACAAAACTGAGGGGGGAGGAGTACAAATAAAACTGAGAGGGCTCATTCAAATCCACACACTTCTCAATGTCAATACCGTACAGTATTCCCAAAATAATCATACTGTTCAAACCACAAGCATTGATATGACGTATCAATAATGAATAACGCTTACATTTATCTAAAATACGACAAGACACCGAATAGTCAGTTAATCGTACACGCAAATTAGATGAGGACAAAGATATAGCCATTTTAAATATTTGGCCATATGGGTATATAATCAATTTATAAACAATTAAATAACTTTATTTGAATACTTGAAATTTCTTATATAGTTCAATATAAATGTATTCCAATCCAGATATTATATAATACCATTAATACCTAAGTTTTTTTTTATCTTATATAGTCATATATACAATTTACAATAATAAATATGTGTGGTTTTGAATCATCGACCCCCCCCCCAAAAAAAAAAAAATTTCTATTTATTACAATAGACAACATTTGTGCAGAGTTGAACGGTGTAAAATGTGTAGTTATGAATGGTAAATGTATAGGTTTGAACGATGCTCCAATAATAATCAATAGTTATTCTTTTTTAAATTTCCACAAAATAACAGATATTGATGAATATCGAATGTCGTAATCCTTGTTTTTCCTTAATTGTTAATTATTTTTTTTTGTTTTTTCCAACACATTTGAAAACTACTGGGTAATTTTTACTTTTTACTAACCTCAGATACTTGAAAATGTAATACAAGGTTCCTCGTGATGTCATCATTACTTCTTATAATAAGAGTTCAAAAATATTAAAGATATATGTAGTGTAGGAAAGATTTATTTTATAAGCATTTACGGATTTAATTTTAACAAGATTCACTAAAATCATGAAAATTTGCTAGCTATTGTAGTTTTTATAAATAAAGATTGAAAATTAAATAAACGAAGGTGCCATCGAAATAACCAAATACTTGTTTAATCAAATACATCATAGATACTTATTTTACTATCTACCCATATTTTATTACCCCAAGTTTAACATAAACCACTGTGGTGAGTGGGCGTCAGCAGAAAATCAGATCAGTGGGTGCAAAATTAAATTTATGTGATACATACATAGGAAGTAACATATTTACATTATTATACACTGATTTTTTGGTTCATAAAAAAAATCCCAGTGGGTGGAATTGCACCCACTGGTCCCTCTCTGCGGGCGCCCCTATGAAGAGTAATGTTGTACAAGGATAATGTCAAGTTTACCCAGGAGATATAGACCTTACCTGGACATCGAATATTATCCGTAACGTAAGATACCTATATATTCATAAGTATTTATATTACATAGGTACATGTACCTCCTACCAGTCCTACCTATATACCGTGTATCCGTGGAAACAGAGAACACTTTATCATAAATTACGCTGTAAATAATATACAATTCTGTTTGAGGAACATTGAATTGGACTCATGGATCTTACATTTGCTAAACACAACATCATTTTTTTCAATAGCAACCATTTTTTTGAGTATAAGTTTTGGATTGGTCGTTTTTTCAAGTAATTTTGATCAGTCAACTTGTCTAAACCCAAAAATTGGCAAAAGTTAAAGCTAAGTATAATTTAAAAAATAAATTAATTTACTAAATTAAATTTTTTTTTATTATTTAATATTGTAAGTATTTTTCATTCTAAACATCATAATTACATAATGAAACATAATAAAAGAAAATATTAATTCATAAAAAGTAGTTAATTTATTACTTTAACCGTAACAAGTTTGATTGTATCATGTTGTTTAGAAAGAAAAAATACGTAGAATTAGGTAGAATTAAAAAAAAAATCAAATTTAGTAATTTCATTTGTTTATTTATGTAGCACTAACTTTGCCAATTTTGGGTTTAGAATACAATTAAATAGATCAAAATTACTTTAAAAAAACGATAAATTCAAAAATTAAATTCAAAATAGGGAGTTTACATTAAAAAAAAATAAAGTTGTGTCACGCATGCACAAAATACATGAGTTTGAAGAGTTGTAAGTCATAGAAATGTATAATGCATAAGTCTAGCGGAATGTCCTGCAAACAGAATTAAAATAATTATTTATAGTGAAAATTATTTACATTATAATGATGAGTGATAAAGTGTACCCTGTTTCCGTGGATAAGGTAAGGTACCTACTTTAATTTTGTACGAATGTGATAATTTGTTAATTAACTTACTATTTTTGTTACAACTACATTCCAAATCATCACTAGGTCTAAAATCCGGATCATCTTCATCGAATATTATTGATTCTTCGTAGTCGTTAAACACTGAACGATCAGATTCATTGCAACATGCAGTCCTCATTTTTCTTTTAAGTATAATTTAAACCTAAAATAAAAAAATAGTTTGACTTGATCGATATTTATTCATTTTATTTTAATACATATAAAATTAAAATTCAATAAACATGATTGATATTTACCAACCTCCCTCCATCACAAACAACCACATTATTTGCATCAATAACGTCTACTATAAACTATCCCAATTAATTAAGTAATTATTTAAAAAAGTTAACCCCTTAAATAAGTCACTGCGAATAGTGTTTATGCAGTTGACATCAATTTCTCGATTAAAATATAATAATAGTTCTCAATTTATTAAAAATAGAACTAAGATTAAACTTCTTCGAACAATTATTTTAAGATTTTATACATGCTATTTGTAGGTATAGAAATAAATCGAGGACAACTGAATTTAATATATTTTGCATATATGTTATTAACTTATAAATTTGAATTAATATGTTGTGGTTACAGTGCAAGTCTATATAAATAATACAAACATAATAATTAATTTAATGAAATAAAGATAAATAATATACCTACTATAGTATATTTATATTTAATATGAACGCCATCAAACAAATTTCATTTTATCAGGGTCCATTTACTCATACTAACACTTTTGAAGAGGTATTATGAAAAATGTGGATTTCAATTAACTACTAAATTTATAAAGTCATATCAATAAGTTTACCATGATAATGGCGGTAAAATATTAATGTAAATGGCTTATAAAACTTGCAAATTACTTTGAGTTCGAAATTCATAAAAAAATTGTTTAATTCTATGATTTGACAATTTAATTCAAAATTCTTCAAACGTTTTACTCGATTTCTTATTGAACGGTTATCTTATTTTGTTAAAACTAAAAAACGAATAACCATATCGATATTTCAAATTTACACAAAATATTTGTTTGGTCATTTCATATACTTGAATATTTTTGAAAATATTTTCATTCCTCTTGAGCTGTTTGCGAACATTTTAAATTTTAAATTATTTTAGTCTTTTTTTCGTTAAATGTCAATAAAATATTGTTTGTTAGGCCAAAAAGCTTGAAAATTGAATACAATAAGGGTCCTGATATATTTTAACAATAGAAACCAAAAAATATTAAAATTACATGGTCACAGTTTTTATTTTTTTTGTATCAACATTTAAAGTTCAAATTCTTCAATATTTATCAAAGTTTACAAATTATTTTGTAGTTTAAAATTTTAAAAATTTTAAAAATTTCAACTTTTATAGCTAAAGATTGAAAATTTAAAACAAGGTTACATGTAAGTAGTTAATTATGTGAGAAAAAAATTTAAAAATATATTTCCACCATTTTTTTTTACAGTCATTTTAAGTTAAAATTTGGACTGAATTACATATTTAAACCAAGAATAACAATTTCAGTTATTTGGTTGTAATTTAAAAATATTATTCGAGGTTACTTGAAACTTTTAGAGTATATTATTATATTTCACACACCCAATGACTTTCCAAATGTAATTTTTTTGGCAAAAATGAATTTAACCTACTATAGTCCTAATGTCAAGTATTAAAATAAATTACTTCAATCGCAATAATATCATCAAATATTTTGTAAGTAATACTATACGCTGACAGACCACCTTCGCTCAGAATATTTGTGTGTATATTATGATTTTATATCATGAAATTCAAATTTAACACTATCCATTAGAGTGGCCAGCTTGTAACCTACAACTGTACAGCAGAGTGACATCCATCCTTTACCCGTATTTTTTTAATTAACTTCTTTAGTTTGCGTGTGAAGACACTTTCTTAGACGAAATAATACTTTGATCATCAACTTCGATAGAAGTTTCTTACAGCCAGTATGGAATCTTGTTGGTACTTTAGGGTGGTCTGGAATATTGAAAATTCTCAGTACCTATAGGTATATCGTATATGTACCTACTTTTTAAAACAATCAGGAATATCTAAAATCGAATATATGAACATTTATTAAAATTTTTATATGATTATTAAAATAAGTGTTTGGTTAACGTGGATTTTTTTTTGTCTTAGGTTTCTAAACATAAGTTTAGAACACCTTGTGTCCCAGTTGTGTCCACTCGTCCGTTTATCCGTTAATTGTGAATTACGATTGTTGATAAATAAATTATATGCGTATGGAATATGGATATAAGACACATTAAGTTGTATTAAAGTTTAGAAACCGGAAATTTAGCACACTCCCAGAGTGAAATTTTGTAAATTGTGTTGTAGTCAAAAATTCCTAAAATGTTTTTAATATACCTTAGATTTGAAAATGCAATACAACATTTTTCATAGATTGTTATTGATTACTGGGATTAAATGAAATTATATTGATCAAAGTTCTACAAATATTTTAAAGAAATAATAATAATAAATCGACCTATACCATAATACTAACTGTAAATTTATATAAATTTAAATACAAATTCAAGTAGTTAAAATAGTTAAATACATGTATTATTTAATTAAATAAATTTCTTTAAGAGCAATATAAAAATATATATCATTAAATATACTAGGAAAATATAGGTTGACTCAAAAGTCTTCGCTCAGATTCTTTGCATGATTTATCATTGAATTCAAATTTAACACATTCATTACAGTGACCTACTCAACGATGAGGTCACGTACACTCAACACCTACTGCACAGCTGAGCGGAACAATTTTAAATAGCCATTTCGTAAATCTAATTTTTTTTTAATGTTGATACTAAAAACATTTAAGTCAAGCACCTCTGTAAATAGTACCTAGTTTATTTATTTTTTATATTTTAAAATATCAAAGATTTTGTTTTGAGTAATTTATTTGAATGGTAATAACATTTTTTAAATGTTATTTTTGGGAATTTTCCGACATAAATAAATCATAAATAATTTTTTACTTTCATTCAATTTTTATAACTTTTTACATTAGGTAAATATAGGTATACATTTAATTAATGATTTTAAAATTATTGAAATTATCTAATGAAGCAAATAAAATTACTATCAGTTATATGTTGTTAAAGCAATATTCGTTAGTTGGACAAAAATTGTGTACATACATCTATGTATCCATGTGACTATATAGTATGTATATTATATAGAGGAACCTAAATACGTATAAAATATTTTGACAAATTTTCTATTCATTATTGAAATAATAAAACCAATTTTCAACTAAATGTCTTGTAGATTTGTTCTATGTTTTTAGGGTTTTTGAATTTTAAACAATAAATATTTTATATTTGTTCTGTTTATTGCAAAAACAATTGAGAAATTTTAAAAATTATTTCTCACAACTTGCAGTCAATTAACAATTTACAAAGGTGTTATATGAAATGTTACCTTTTTTACTAATACAATTTACTTTCTGAAAAAGCCATATTTGTCATGTTACTTATGTTTAAAGCAATACAATTTAAAATAGCATAGTATTAAAATACCTAACTTAACTCTCAAGACATTTAATTTGCAATACTTGTTTATTATATTTTATAACTTATGGCATCGGAACTATAATAATAAATATAAATAGGTAAATTGTAAATAATTTAATCTTAGAGTACATAGTTTTTGTGTAACTATTTGGAACCTTAATCCATAACTCTATAACCTTTGAAAATGGCGAAAAAGAAAAAGTTATAAGAACTTGCAGTATGCTACAAATTATCTCAAATAAATAAAATATTCTATTAATCTAAAAAATATTACATAACTTAATTACAGTATTAATGACCAAAGTTTTTTAAACCTTCTCAAAAATACTCATCATAGTTATTAATTACAAAATACAATATGAAGTAAATAATTAAATGAATTGTTATAATATTATTAGAATAATAATTTACTAATCAAAAAATATACATTACCTACATACTTATCTGTAACAATTACTTAAATACTTATAACAAAAATATAAAAATATATTATATATTTACCTTAAATAGGTGCTTACCAAATATTTTTTTGAACTAATAAAAATAATAATATCTCACTTTGACACTTCTTCAAAAAGTTTATGTTGGCAGGAACTCCAAAAATAAAATGGTAAATATTATTTTTTTTATTATTTGCGTAACTTGTCCGGTTAAAATATTACCATAAATAATACAGAATTTAGGCACAATATAAACTTGACTTCTTAAAACAAAAAAACTGGAGTACTAAAATATTTCAAGCTGAAAATTAGTAAAAAAAGATTTCATACATATGATTAAATCTAATAAATAATCAGATGAGAGCACATAATATATTTGTGTACAAGCGTTCGACTTTATTATCGAGTTTTTTCGACTGTTCACTCATACAAAAATTACGTATATTATGTTAGATAATACAAATATTTATTTTTATCTCTGTATAATTATATTTTATCATTTATTTCTTTTAATGTTTATTTACTTGTATTTTTAAACCAGTCAGTAAAGCTAATAGAGATATAATTAATATAAATGCTTAACAGACAAAAAAATTATAAATAAAAGAGGTTAATAGTATGATAGCAACATTTATGTATTAGTAATTATTAATTATATCATTATTATGATAAAAAATATACAGCACACTACATATTACAAATCATATATACGCAGCATATTATAGGTATTACACATATAAATGAACAATATGAAAACGCCAATAATATTAATAATACATATTATATACTTTTAATTTTTTCAATAATACTTTAAATATTTTAGATACTACTTATTACTTATTTATAAAATAGATAAATAAACAATATAATAAGTTCCAATACTATATTTTGTAAATATCTATAGACACCCTGCCACACTCCGGGTTGAATAAATAGCCTTTACTATATTCCTAAACAATAATGTTTTGAATTCGACATTTTAATAATAACTAGGTATCATAACTAAGTGTTTTCATTTGTATGAGCAGTGAGCACTCAGTAAACTTACCTACATACACATGTACATTGCAGTATATATATCTATAATTTAGAAAGAGAATTATGTATGATGCACATAATATATTATCTTGGAGTTAATTATTTGTTATTTTATTTACAGAGTTCTACTTCTACCTATGACCTATCCTCCATTATTCACCAGAGAACTAAAAGATATCCTGCTACAATTGTGGGAATGAATCTTTATTATTGTTAAATAGCTATAATAATGACTTATGAGTTATGAGTAACTTTGTTTAACATTTTCAAGCATTTTGACCCAGTGAAAATTTGTTATTGACATTAATAGAAAAAAAACTAAAAACTAATTTCAAATGCCAGTATAATATGTAGTTCAAAAAAAGTCAAAACATTTCTAAAATTATACCGTGCGTGTACATATAATTCTAATACAAACATATGAGTTTAAGAATATACGGTCATCTATTTTTGAATTACAACAAAATAAGAAAATCCTTTGATAAGAAATCGGTATTTAAGAGGACGATTCACCTGTGTGTGCTGTCTCCGTCTTAGAAATGGCAAATTTTAAGCTCAGTAGACCGTAAAATAATAAATTGTTTATGAACTTTAAAATACTCATTACTTGCTTTAAAATTAAAATATAAATAAAAACCTGCGAGGTTCACTAGATAATATTCTTACCTTTAAATTTTATAAGAGGTCAATTCACTCTCATTTTTAAACCAACTAATCTAAATGTGATCTACCGAGAGTAAAATTTGGTATGTTACGCATTTGTAAGACGGAGACAACGTGTCCTCTGAGAGGATGCTATGACCGTATGTCCTCTCAGACGCTCTTAAAAAATTAATGCGGAATAACACTCAATTTTTTTAAATTCAAATCTTAAGTATGAATATTAAAATTTTTATGATAAAAATATTTGCAAAATTTCAAAAATTTATAAAAAAATATTGTAACTATGTATTTTTTATATCTTTGAATTGGAATATAAACAATTTCTGAGGAACCTTGTATTTAATTTTCAAGGTTTTGACTGAGAGAACATTTTTTCATCAATATTTATAGAAAACAAAATTGAAAAAGTTCTATAATGTCAAATATTTATTTATAGGCATATACCTCAAAAAACTTCAAAATATTTTGAAAATCACCGGGAATTATCAGTTTTGACCTTTCAAAAGAACCAACAAGATCCAATCAACTACCCGAAACCGCCCCTAAAATTTGAAAATTGTAGCAATTTTCTCTACTGTAAATTGTGTGTAAATACACATACCCCCAAAAAACACATTGTAAAATCAATATCTTTGTTGCTCTAGACGATATAGAATCTATAAAAGTTAATAATTTACTCTCAGTTTTGAAAATTAGTAGTAGAGATGTTTTTTTTTAAGATTGTTTACAGATTCAACAAAATAAATTATAATAATATGACATATATTATGCGTACATGAATTAATTAACAATGAAAGATTATCATTAGTGATTTTTTATGTTATACACATATTTACCGCGTATTTGTGACACTATTAAAATAATCGATTATCAATAAAATTTTGCCCGCGCAGCATCCACATCTAGTTGGATGATCATTACAAATTTTTTTACAGTATGATGTTATTTCAATTTTTTATCTTTCACTTCTTAGTCGTTTCAAACATGAACAAAGGAAACTTGCTGATTAACATAACACAATAATATACATATAAATAATAACAAGGTCTTTGCAAAATGCAAATATAAACACCGCATTTTCCTGTTCCTTCATAAAAATGACAGAAATTAATATGGTTAATATTATATTAAAAATTGTGCTAATATTTTTTTTGATTTAAGAATAATAACATATAATCGTAGTTATAGAGGTCTCCTCTGTTTTTTGTTTAGCCATTTCAGCAATAAGGCAGAGATTGTTACATTCTGTATAGAGCTAATTTTTATTTTTTGAAAGCAATCATAACTCAAAATTAATGAATTCGACATTTTGAGTTGTGACAGTCTAGAGTAGCGATTTATGTGTGGTTATGAACGGTAGATATCTAAGTAGTAAGTATGCAGTTTCTACACTCTCGCCTACACATTAAAAAATAATTACTTAGTTATTTAAATAGGTATTTACGTTATGATCGGCAGTGGCGGATTTAACACCCGGGCAACCTGGACACGTCCGACCGGGCCCCGGACGTAGGGGCCCCTTTGGCCAAAATAATAGGGATAACACTAGATTTAATAAATAAAAAAAATAAGTGTATTAAAATAATTATACTATAATAAACCATATTATTAAAAGTTGTTATATAATACAGAATATTATGATATTATAGCAGTGAGCTAAAAGTACCAAATAACTGGTAATTCCCATTGTCGTCGACGTTTATCGATTGTCGTCGACGTTTATCGACCCATGTATATTTTATCTTATATTTATATAATGTCAAATTACTTTTATATTTGCCATTTATATTTCTTTTATTGAGCGGTTACGACGTACGAAACATCATTGAAGAACACGTCTTATTATAAACTATAAAATGTATGTATTATTAATTAAATTATTAATTAGTATTTTTATAATAAGAATTATTAGATTATTGATATTAGTTGTATAAATATAATTTATGAAACATTGATAGGTAGATAGATAAATATGTTAATAATTTTTATTTTATCTTTAGTTGAAAAATGTCTAATCCTTACAATTCAAATTATAAACACAAATCGGGAAGTTTAAAACGGAAAGAAAAAGAAAGAAGGGAACTAGAAAAATGTAAATCTGACAAGAAACAAAAAGTACTTGGGGATTTTTTTAATCAATTTGAAAGCTCTCCGATCACAATACCTGATGCTTCTCAAAACGTTGATAAAAAAAATTTATTAACTACTCGTAAATCGGTTTCAAATATATCTTCTTCACTTATAAACTGTACGTCTGATTCATTTGAGTTAAATATTCATCAAACCAATGTTCAGGATTCATCAAGTGACTTCTCATTAAATAAACCTATATTATCTTTACTTATCTTTATTTATCTTAATGATTATGCAATGCTTTACATAGAAAGAGATACAGCAGAATTAATAGATTTACAATCTACCATCAAAATTTTTTCAGAAAAAAAAGCTAGAAAAGGTTATAAAAGTGAATTATTATAAATTATAATAAATATTATGTATTATAAATAAGTGTTTTATTTTATATTTACGTTTTACAATATTATTAATTTTCGATTGTTATACGAGTTGGTAACATAAATTAAATAAGTTAAAGTATTTTATTATGTATGTATTCTTGAATTAATTTTAAATATATAAATACTTCTCCCCCCAACCCTGTTTAACATTTTAAATAAGATATTATAATTAGGGAATAGGGGAGGCGTGGGCCCCAATTTTAAATGTCCGACCGGGCCTTTTTTTTTAGATCCGCCACTGATGATCGGAATATTATAAGATATTAAGAGATTGATCACAATATTGAATAATGAATATGCGAATACGTTACTTGATAAATAACAATACTGATTTTTAATTTCTTAAATCATCTTACGGACAGTTAAAATCGAAAACATCCTTCGACTTGTTATGGAAATCCACATTAGGTGCCTGGGCGAACTTGGACTTACAACTATATACTAAATACCTACATATAACTTCAAGAGCTTCAAATCCTGACTTTACTATCGTTTTCAGCATGCTTAACTATGTAGGTACGTAATTCTAGTAGTCGGAGATAGGTAATAGGTAAGCCTAACCTAACCTAACCTCGTAGGTATCTGTAATATTTTACCTACTAAGGGCCAGTTGTACCAGATACCGGTCTAGACTAGTTTAAACTAGAGATTATCTTGGTTTAAGAATTAAACTGAATTTAAAATTTAGTATGTTGTTAAATGGTAGTTTTAAACAACAGATATGTAGTTAAATTAGGTTTTTCAGAGCGATCAGTGGATTCTATGACAACTACACCACATCAATATTATTATTTATTAGTTTATTACTATCAGTGTACCTACTGATGCAATGCAATGCATGCATTATCATTTATCACTTTTGTTTAAAAACAATGGCATAATAACATTAGGATTATCCATTCGTTCACCTTTTTTTATTAGGTACCTACTATTTAATACCTAAGTTATTTAGACGCAAAAGCTTGGGGGGAGCTATATGTTGTACATAACTTTAATTACCTGTTGGATGCTCGATTTCCAGTTAAATCAGAACATGTACATACCAAATAGCTTGTTTTGGCTAATTCAACAAACTCAAAATCACGAAGACATAGAAAATAATCTGGAAGCAGCCTGAATATTCTGGGCACCTATCCGATGTTCATTCGCAATCAAGTTTATAAGTTCAACAAAATCATCATCCCCCAT